TTCTGTTTTCAAGCGGTAAAGCGCTTTTTTCGGGTTGGTGGTTCGATCCGGTTTAAAGGTTTTATTCCGGATTTAATCAGCCGGTCCGGTCCGGTCCAAGGTTTTAGAACACGGGTTGTGATTTAGTGTGTTTCCGTATGTTTGTGAGAAGTGATACTGTTTCATAGGTCGTGTCTTATATCTGTTGGGTGTTTCATATATTTATTCTTCTTTTAAATAGCTCATAATGGTTTCTCTTGTCTTAGTTTCCAGTTATGTTCGTAGTCTTTTAGTTCAAGTTTCCTTTTTTGCTGTTGTTTACGAACCTGCGTAAACTCAAAGATCACGTGGTGAAGCAGCGAAAAGACCCAACATGAACTCACATCACATGGAAGCAAAGAACATGGCTTCTTCTCAGGGAATGTTCTTACGCGCAAATGTGTTCCATCCCTTTATGAACATTCTTTGACTAGGGGTCTAAGGGATCATGGGTTCTGTTAAGCTAGAGGAGAATAAATATGTTTGAACTGAAGAGAATGATTCAGTACCGGTCCTGAGGGGAAGCATTATAAGCAACCGCTTCCGGTCCTAAAAAAATACTTGAAAAATTCAGCATTTTTTATAAGAAAATTATTATTATAGTATATAAACGTTTTTATAAAACTGGCCAATTTTTTGAAAATTGCTTCTGGTCTTTCCCATGTCAGAACCGGTATTTTATGTTTTACTGAATAACTTTCATTTTACTTGACAAAGAAGATTACATTGTGTTCTTTTTTATACAGCAAAATGGAAACCCTAGGTGTTCTAGACACGTGTTATAATCTTGTCAACTCTAAAAATCAAAGGCCGAAAACCGATTTGACAGCTTCAAGCCATTATGATCTTCCGTGCATGCTTTCATCATCTTCTGCAATTGTACTATATGCTTTTAGTTGCTTTATCTTCTTCTCTCTGACTTAACCGTTGAGCGGTTGAATTTGAAGTCGAGGCTGAGATGGGCTCTTTCTGATTGGGGTTGTTTTCATCTTATATATTGCTTATAATCCTCTCCAATTTTCGATGTGAGATCTTTGTCTCTAATACACCCCTTCGAGATGAAGGTTCTTTGTGCGTCAACTTCAGAATGTTTGGGCAAGGATCGATGGGCCAACTTTGGGCACAGATCTATCGATCGGGTTGGACTATTTGGATCATGGGTTCTGATACCATGTTAAGCTAGATAAGCTTCCAACTTAAAACCAGTTGGTGATAAGTGGAATGATCTACATATCTTATATATTGCTTATAATTATTTCCAACTTCCAGTGTGTAACATTTGTCCCTAATAGGTTCAACTAGTATAGCTACGCGTTCAATGGAAGCAGAAGTCTATGCTATCTATTATGAGCCAAAAATGGATAAATAATTGAAGGGAAGCTAGCTAAGGTTTGTGATATGGGGTTGAAGCAATCTCAATTGTCTAAGATTTATTTGTTTCAGAGAAAGACTCAGAATCTCTACAATTTGTGATCGATTTGATTCCTAAGTAAAAAGCTTTTACACTTGTACTAATTATCGATTAGGCGTCACTAGTTATCTTAGTTGATACTCACTATATTTCAAAAATGAAAATTGTAATTTTTTTACATATCTTTTATATACTAAAGTATAACTCACTCAATCAATTAAATTTTAACATGTGACCATTTTTTAATTTTAAAGAAAAATACAAACAATGTGAAACATTCTTCTGCCTTTAAAACATAAAAAGGAACTGGAAGAGATTGACAACAAGCACAAAAATAAAGCAAAAAAAATATTTTAACAGTTTCTTCTTTTATCGAGAAAGGGTTTGTAATTTTAACGGTTTCAACTATTCCAGCCACGATCTCCACCTCATTCGCATACATTTTTCTTTCTCTAGAGAAAGGCGAATCTTCACTCTGATGGTGACTGTATTTTCAAAGTGGTGGGGAATAATCTGAAGATGTATGGCCAAAACGATGATGTAGCAGTCAGAAGTAGTTCATGAAGTGCGACATGAACTACGACTACGAGGCGAGTGAGTTGAGAGAAGCACGAGTCATGAGCATTGTATTAATAAGAGAGTTAATGAAGTCTTGTGTAAAAAGGCAAGTCTTGAGGAAGAAGCAAGAATCTTGGAGAAAAGGAAGATTGGCTTATTCGCTGAAGAACAAGAAATGAAAAGTTTCCATCAAAGTTAGATTTGCAACCTAGGATGTTCTCCGCATATAAAAAGGAGGTCAAGGTGTTGTATGAAGACCAACACACAAAGAGAGCTTTTAGCAGTAGAGGTTTTGTACGTCCGGAGAAGGAGAGACAAAGCATCTAGGGGTTAGAAGCATAAGTAGTTTAGAGACTGTCTTAAGTCTGTGAACGTGTAAGACTAGTCAACAAGTCAAAGTTTGTCTTGAGATTGCTTGAAAGATTGCTTTTATAAAGAACTTTGTGTACTTTTAAAAGAATTAATCTAGTCGTATTTCTTGAGAAGAATTATCTCTGTACTACTGTGTGTTCTACTTGATATAGCTTACTTATCTTACATTAACATAATAGATATTGTGTAGTGTACAAAGTAATTTTGAAAATGATTAAGCTAAATTTATGTGGCTTTGGAAAATATACCGGTGTCCATTGATTAGTGTTGCAGACGAGTTATACTATAGTAGATTCGTAGTTGCTTAGAAAATGAGTAAGTGGAAATTTTTAACTCTCCGCACTAATTTATCTTTCGGTATAGAGTTTTTAGTTCTCTTTTTTACAGAGGAATGATTCCCTCAAACTAAAGTGGCTCCATTGAAAATCTAAGGCCAAGAAGCTGGGAACACTATTTCAATTGAAGAAAAATAGTGAAATGAAAAGATACGACTATCACAAAAATCTAAGCAGATTGAAGAAGATATTTGAAAGGAAAGAAGATAATCTTTTTGTAAGTTGAACTCTTTTCTTTTTTTTTTCTTTTCTGTGTAGATGTTAAACCAAAATAGATTTTCTTCTTAGGTTGAGGAAAAGACAAGTTTTGTCCTAAATTAAATTTGACGCAGGTTAATAAAGATTAGAAGAGAAGATGGACTCAAAATGTTGTTAAAAAAAAAGACTACTCCAACTTACCAAGAGACTCTCAACCCACATGATTCATGCTTTGATTAATAGGTAAGATGAAAAACCTTGACCAATAAATTAACTTTCTTTCTGTTAGTTTCTCTTTAACCATCTTTAGTATTGAAAATAATTTACTCTAAAAAAAAAAAATATCGAAAGTATGAATCCTCTAAGTGACGAATTCTGAACATCATTTCATAGTACATATCATCGTCTTAGCATATATTATAAGCATGTGAAATAAAAAACCAGTTTACATCTAGAGTAATTATCTTATTTTCTGATCTGCAAGAATAAAATACCTAAATCACACAATATTTCTCTTACTATTTATTTTGCAAAAATATATAGAATGTCATATAGTTTTTATCAAACAAACTCTTCTAATTATTCAAATTTGATTTTTTTTTAAATTTCATGTGAAAACATCGATTTTTCCGTTCACTCAAAGTTGAACTTAAAGAATAAGTTTTGTTAATAAATTCTAGATAAATGAAACATAGTATTTTAAATTGATTAAAAGTAATTAAAATACAGTAGAACCTCTTTAAATTAATAGTCGATAAATTAATATACACTAAATATCTCTATAAAATAATATAATATTATAGTCCTAAATTGAGTTTTTGGTTCGATTAGTATATCGATAAATTAGTATCTTTCTAAATTAATAAAAAAATTAAAAATTTGGTATAGTTCAAACATTATTAATTTATAGAGGTTTTACTGTATACACAGATGTGGCACTGGTGAAACATACTAGTATTAAATAAATCATATTAATTTTTTATTATTAGTCATTATTTTTTGTAATTAATTACACTGTATCTAACTATTTTAAACTATAAGAATTTCAATATACACATTTATCATTTTTAAAATTTACAATTTACTCTTAGACTAGATGTTTTGCTCGCATATGCGAGATTTTATAAATATATATATGATCATCTCAAATAATATGAGAATAAATTGTTGTTCATAGGTCCAAAATATTTAATAATAAATTAGGTAAAAAATTATTTTTATATATAAATATTTTCACTAAAACTTAAATATTTTGTACTACATAAAATAAACTTGAAAACACTCATGTATACCTAAAATTAAATATAAAATGTTATATAGAAATTTATCTTTGCGAAAAAATTATGATGTAAAGTTATTATTTATGGATACCACAATGTAAATTATTTTTAAAGAAGAATAATTATTAAATTGCTGAAATTTATTTTTAATTTATGGATAATTATATTTTAACAAATTTAATAATTCATTAAGGTTAAAAAATTATAATAAAAGATAAACTATTTAAAGATGTTAATTATTAAATTATTAAAATTATACATTAAATGATCTAATTATTTATTAAAATAGTCTTAAATTTAACTGATCTAATTTTTAACGTGAGAGCTCGAATGCAAAAAATCACTTCACAAATAATAGTATTGATAAAGTATTGAAAATGTAAAAACTGTATCTCAATAAACACATTTATCTTTTTGAACTTTACAATTAACTAATAATCAAAGTATTGAAAATGTAAAAAAAAATGTATTTTTGAAATAATATTTTTTTTTCTAAAATATTTCATTTTTTGGAGGGAGTAGTTATTACGTATGGATTCATTTTTTGGAGGGAGTAGTTATTACGTATGTAATCATTTTTAAAAAAAATAAAAGAATCATAATATTAAGAAACAAACAAAATCTTGGGATGATATCAGATGGAGATATGAGTAAACTTTGTAAAAATAAAAATATTGGGTTATTCATTATATATCTCATGGATTTTGCCCTTTTAACAAATTTTCTCCAAGAGGTAAACCCTAACTTTCTTTCTTGCCGACGAAGCTTCCATCTCTTTCTTGAATCAAGATATCAAATTCAATATTTTTCCATTGATCTCTGAACTCATCATCGATTCATCGCAAAACCAAAGTCATCATCGTCTATTAACCGAGAAGCAAAGACATTGGGCGTTGAACCTGCAAAATCACCATCCAACTCTTGTCCTTCTCTTAACCTCTCAATCTTCTCCACAGCATCTCTCATCTCCATCCTCCTCTCTTCATCCTCTTCACAACAGCTCAACCCAATTTTCAAGAGGCTTAGCATCTCTGCTTTACAGTTCTTTTTCCCAGTCATTTCCTTGTCGAACACGTCACCCGTTTTCTTCTCCTTCACCATGTTACTCACCCAAGTTACAAGGCTCATGTTAGCATCGTACCCTTGTCTTAGATAATTCTCGGGAAACCTACCCGTTAGCAGCTCCAAGATCAAAACCCCGAGGCACCACACATCAGTCTTCTTAGTTATTTGTCCCTTTAAGCTGTACTCTGGCGATTTATATGCGATCATTAGGTTATGAGACTGCTCTGAGTTCATCACCGGTCTTAGCGCGTAGTCCGTTAAGAGAGGCTCAAATGATTCGTCAAGTACCACATTTGATGACTTGAGATGACCGTGAGGGATTGTCAGTGTTGGTAGCTCCTTGAACAAGTAACCTAAACCCTTAGCCACTCCTTGTATAATCTTTAGCCTTGTTGGCCAATCCAATCCAGGTTGATCCACAGAATGATTAGCTGAAATAGAATAAACCAAGTAAAGTAACCGTTATAAAGTTCAAGAAAGCGCTAGCCGGTGGTTAGACGCCTTATAGATAATTATTGTTTAGGCAGGTGCCGATTTTTTGAATGTCTAGACCGATTGTTTGAATGTCCAGACCAATTTTTCAAAAATAAAAAAAAAGTTGGTCTTAAAAAATTGTTTTGTTCAAATCCGATTTGCTGACTCGATGGCTGCAGCCTAAACCGATTTTTAGAACATATTGATATAATAATTGAATCCTACGTACCGTGAAGATGTCTTGCCAAGCTACGGTTAGGCATGAACTCAGCGATCAAGAGCTTCTCTTCTCTACGGTAATAGTAAGCCACAATAGGCAACAGATTCGGATGACTCAGTCTCCCTAACCGTTTTATATGCTCATGAAACTCTTCTCTTCCGACATTGTTCATATGTTTATACCTCTTCACGACCAGAGTCTTTCCGCTATTTATCCCGGCTTTGTAAGAAGCACCAAAGCTACCACTCCCAAGAACTTCAGCAGAAGCTCTCAGAAGATCTTGAAGATCGAATCTTTGAATGTCCTCTTGCAGAAACAGGAGTTTCCCTTGATCCGGTACTGCTCCTCCTCCTCTCCTACTAGTGTAGCTAGTAACAGACTCCGAAGCTCTCTCCGTGTGCACGGATTGATCATAATGGTACTTGTCTATCCTGTCTTGTCCCGCAGATGGACAAGCCGACAAGACCTTCCGTCTTCTGTTTTGAAGAAGAAAAACCACAAGCGAGATGATTAGTAGTACTATCCCAATGACAATCAAAATGATTGCAACCGTGAACATAGTTTGGATCTTGTCTTTCTCCGTGGAACTAGGAGGAGGAGGATCCGGAATAGACCATGAAGCCGCTGAGCATGAGACTAATGGAGGATCACACAAGGCCTTGTTCCCTGAAATGTTAATTAAGGTTTTATGTTTTCAAATGAAAAAAAATAAACTCATATAGTTACTAAACATGTTTGTTTAGTTAACCTGTAAAGGAGCCAGGATCCATGTCTCGTAGGCTTTGGGGTATAGGTCCCTCGAGGTCATTGTTCTCGAAGCTAGCTAACTTGAGATTCTTCTGTTTAAAATCAGGTATGTTCCCTTGAAACTGATTACCATTAAGCTTCACCTCTAAAAGCAATGGCAAAGAAGCTAAAGAAGAAGGGATTTTCCCACGAAACGCGTTGTTAGCCAACAAAAGCTTCTTTAAATGATTCATACCATCAAACGCATCCGCAGGTATCTCCCCTGTAAACCAGTTGTTAGACAAGTACAATGACCTCAAGGAAACGAGTCTCTTGACGGATGGCAATGGACCATTGAAATTGTTGTTCATGAAGCTTAAGGTTCGTAGATTCTTGAGGGGAGCCAACGGTTCAAGGTCTAGCTTCCCGGTTAAATCCATATCTTCGAGTTGTAGACCCCAAACATTGCCGGTGAAACAGAGAACACCAAACCAGTTCGGGGAGTTTCGCTTACAAGGAGCGGTTGAAGGATCCCAACTGCTAATGACAGAAGCATTTGTTAATGTGCCTTTGAATCTCAAGAGGCAATCTGCGTCTGAACCTGGCACAACCTTCTTCTGTTCCTTAGAGATGACCATTGTGACCTGACATAATACGATGATGAGGAATGTAATGAAAGGTAGCGTTTTCTTCACGGTGGTGTTGCGTGCAAGCCTAACTGGGTTCTTCTCCCAAGTTAGCATTGCAGCGAACACGCGGTATTGATCGACCTTTCAAGAAGAAGTTCTTCTTTTTCGATCAGAATGAACTTTTTTTTTTCTTTCCCTTCTGTGGAAGACAAAGAGAAAAAACGTATGAACAGAAGAGAGAGAGGATAAAAATCCACCAAGAATAGACAGAACCCAAGTCAATCTACAAAACTTGTTTTAGACTGCCTTTGTGCTGTCTAAAGATTATTTAGATTCTAGAGAGATCTTAGGGGGTTACCATTCGTTTCTTTTTTTTTTTTTATAAGTAACTAGAATAGGTCCGCGCTACGCGCGGGATATGATGTATTTTTTTTTGTTTAAAGTATATTATATTTTGTAAGTTAGTTTTGCATGTTTGTACGTTGACTTTGCATTTGGATGTATTGTGTGATATTTGTTACGTAAGAAGGTGATCGCCGTTGAAAATGAAGGAGAAATTTATGCAGGTGTTAGTGAGTTCGACTGGCTGTGAAGTTGATTTAGAAATCATGAGTAGAAAATTCACATATGATTGGCTTTATAGTTAGTATGAAACAAAAAGCAGCAGACTAAGTGTTTAAGTTACGTAAATGTCTAAGATATTTGTTAGTCGAACCGGTAATCAGAAAATGGCATACGCTAAATGAATGGTTCGTTGATTAGTGGGAATTATTTGAAGAAAATTCAAATATGATTGTTTTTATAGTTCAAAATAAAGATAAAGGCTAAAGTTGAATCTACAGTAACATCTATCTTATGCTTGATTGCAGTAGCAACCATATTGCACATAACATATCAGGTACAATATCCATTTCTTTAACAATATTTATTTATAGTTATTTTGATACTGATTTTCATTTTCATTTTTTTTTTCTTAACAATGATACTGATTTTAGTTTTGTTTTAAGATATGGGAGATTTGATTTTTAAGATTTAATTGAAAAAAATAATATGTATTTTTTCAGAATTTTAACTAAAATGTCAAGCTAATTTTTTTCTGATAGTTTTTAGTTTTATATTAATTTATTTTATTTTGATAAATGCGATATTTTTAAGTTCTATTTCCTTAAAACAATTATTTTACGTTGACTTTCCAAAAAAGTTTGTCACAAAGTAATTTTATGGCATTATTAAATGAATCTTCTAGAGTATCATTAAATAATTGAGAACTAACATTGATTTATATAGACCACACCAATCCCTTATATATTAAAAGAGAAGCATTTTGCATTAAATGTTTTCACACCACCTTCTCACAAATTATTACCTTATTTACTACCTTCTCACAATTTATTACCTTATTTATTACCTTCTCACAATATATTACCTTATTTTCTTCAACAATTTCTTACCTTATTTACTTCAATTATAAAACACACGAGATACTTTAAAACTACAAAGTTCAATATCGCGTGAGACAAGTTCGGAGGCAAGTGAATTGGCTTGAGGGTCGATGTCAAAGTTCTGGAACGTCGTTATTTGGGAGGTGGGACGTATCTAAGATGATGGATGTGAAGGGCAACGTACCAGAGCCCATGAACGCGATCTTGGTTTGGACATGGCTCGTGTGTAGCGTAAAGAGATTGAACTAAACCTTGCTAAGTTTGAGGTAGTTAGTGTACTGAGGGTAGATCTAAATGGTGAAGTGTGTTGTCTTAGAGAGATCCCAAGGCCGTATAGTAGTGGTTCTCTGAAAACTCTATATCTTCACTACGTAGGTTGGTGAGATTGGTTCTGTAGTTTTGGACTTTTGGGCACAAGTTTTTAACGTCGATATTTGTATCCATAGGCAAGGACGTGGACATGAGCTATTGAACAAATTGTCGACATATATATGTGAAAGGTTTAAGGCTCTTGAGATTGGAGATTCTGTTATACAAGTCGAGAATTTGCTTCTCGAAATGAGCCTTTTGGCAACCCATCTCGAGACTAGAAGGAAATTTGGGATTGTCTCAATACTCTTAATGGTGTTCACATTCATTCGAAATAAGTTACTATATTTCTATAAAGTCTTTATTATTGCATTATATAAATGGATGCCAAAATTAAGAAAAATGCTATAAAATAATAGTTTAAAAATTAGATAATGGAGGTATTACGAAATTAAATAGTAGAGAAGAGTAAATAAGTGTATTTTATTTGGTTAAAAATATTTAATGAAATATTGTTTAATGAATTATTTATTTATATTTTATAATAAATTTGATTTGATATAAGATGACACTAAATGTGTTATCACCATTAAATCAAAATCGTAATTTAACCAAAAAAATAATATTTAAAATATAGATATATAATTGAACGATATTAAAACCCGAAACAACCAATCCAAAACAAACTAATATGCAAATAAAACAGATATAATGTCTTCTTATCTTCAAAAATACAACAAATTTAATCATCTCATCCCGCGCAAAGCGCGGGTCTAATCCTAGTAATCAACTAAAAAAGAAAAGATAACATATTTACTCTCAACATATCTTTTTTCATGTTGGTCATGGCCTATGCATTTTTGGCAAATACCGTCATCATAACCTGCTGGTGGATAGCATTACAAATCATTACATATTGTATACATTTATTGATAGAGATACACTTAGACTACACCATTTACTCATCAAACGCCAAGAGAAGTGGTCAACGCAAAAAAAAATCCCAAGATCTGGTAAAAAAACAGTGGCCTGCAATGAAGATGATGACGACGGTGACAAAGGTTGGAATGCAAGAGCCAGCAGTGGTATGACTTCTCGGAAACTAATTAACAGTAGCAGAAATAGAAACATAGCGTAAGTCAAAAAGGCATTACTCCTGTTATGTTATAGATAACTGATGTATACCCGGCAGCAACAAACTGGAAGCCAAAATCGCTATTTCTTAGGTCTCTCTTAACCATAACATACAATAAAAATTCTCACAAAATTAGGAAGCCATGAACCTATTGGTACGTACGTGATATGACATTTGAAAAAAAAAAGTTGAAGCAGAAGATTGTAGAATTAAGTGTGTTTTGTTCAATTTGATATTTTGTTCAGTTTGATGTTTTGTTCACTGACCTCTAAACTCAGTGATTATCATATTCTTAAAAAGATACTTTAGTTTTTGGTGGGTTGTTTCATTTCTGCTTACCAAATCTTTTTGTTACATCATACTACAAAGTAGATTATTTTGTCAAATTTATTTGGGACACATGCATACGATATGTTAGTCATCCCCTAAAGTGGATTAGGATAATACCAACCTGGAGGAAGATACGATTCATGCGCTTTAGCTTCTTGAATAATTAAGAGGTCACTATTGATTGGGTTTCATTGTAATTACTTCAGGAGAGCACCGGAGCCGTTTCTGTTTAGCTGGTGCACATTAGCATTCACCGAGAAGCAGCAATCTGCTCGATCCAAGAGGGCTGAGTTATAAGAAATTTCCAATAAGAGTGAAGCGGCGGTGGAGAGATACCTAAATCGTATGCATCCGCTTGAGAAGACGACGATGAATCAGTGAATTAGAGAAACTCCCCTGCTTGGGTAGGCGGAAGCTCAATTAACGACGTGAAACCACCGGCGTTCTTGGGAGTAAGCGTTGTTAGTATCAGAGTTGTAAGTTGCCAAAACTCGTTGTCGCTGCCGAGATGAAGCTATTCAAATCCTATTGCTTCCCATAAGGTCCAATGCTGCGGGATCTAGATCTGAATGCTCCGATCACATCCATCAAAGGTAACAATTCCAAACAACAACATTGAAAACTTGGAATCTCAGAGAAATACTGGAATGAGAGAGAGAAATAAATTTTGAATGTTATTGGAAGTGTGATGATGATTCTCAAGAGCTGAGGCCTAACTTTTTATAGGTGGAGATTCACAGATTGGAAAGGATAAGAATCATGGATTGTGGTTGTAGCGGGTCAAATAGTTAATGTCTTTTTAATGACATTGAATCCAATTCAATGCAACTGTAACGTCTGTTAAGAGACGAATGGATAACAAAGCGACGCCAAAGAAACCGACATAGAAGCAACGAATACTCATTAATACTCGTCTCTCTGAAGATCTCAGAAGCTCCATTGGCAAATTTTGGAAGAGGTGATGAATCCTAGAAAAAATGGCGAAAAGACGTCTTGAGGGTGAAACGCCTAACGGGCCAACCTCCTCTCTGTTTTAGGCCTAATTGTATATTACTTTTTCGTCTGAGCCCATGTGATAAAGCGTTTAGAAAACGATGATAAGGGACACGTGTCGTGTTCAAATAACATTATTATCCAAGGTGGCACTTCCAAGAGGGAGTAAACTTTTCTTTATATATATAGATACAATCCTTCTTTATGTGATTGGTCATATGTCCTAACCAATTATTAGTATGCATTTATGAAAATAATTGGTGGGTTTTTAATGATATGATGATCCTTGAGATTCAAGGTGTGCACTTTTGGTTTTCGGTCCGGTTTTGGTTTGATTTTTTTTCCCTGTGGTTTCTGAAACTGTATACCTTGCTTGCAGGTGTAATCTTGGTGGCCATAGAAGGGGGATTCGAGGACGAGCTTCTCGTGGCCGGTGATGTATTTGATACAATTTGCTATGAGCAGCCACAACCTGGAACGTATGAAGTAGACTATAACTCTTATGGTTCAACCACTGGATGCACAATCATGTAAAAGAAGATCAATTAACATAAAATCCATATCTATTCAAATTCAGTATCTTTTGTTACATGTGTTGGGAATTCTCGATCGTTTGATTGCTTAACTAAATAACACATAGAATTTGATCACCGAGTTCCCGGCCTCTAGCGCGGTACGTCTCGGGTGGGAACCGTCTCCCACAACATCCACTATCAATCAAAGAGTTTTACACAAACGCTCTAAGCGCTCTACACAACGAAGAATAAGAAAGATCAAAGAAACTCTCTCCCGNTGGTATTAGGGTTTTTCCCCGGATCCTTAACCAAACTTGGAACGTCTTCTATTTATATCCAAACGTCACCGACTTGTATTCGTGTATTTTCCTTTTCCCATATGATTTACTA